CTTTTAAACTAAACCATACTTTTACAAACTTGTTTTTTTTTTTCTTGAAGAAAATGTTTGGCAAACAATGTCTAAAGTTACAACTAGTCAGGGTTCCTATTAAATAAATCATTGATAAAAATGTATGCTAATGTACATCTGTTATATATGCAAATCATGCTCAGCACTGCTCACTGACACCATTTATTATTTCAAAAAATCCTTTTTTATTTAAATTCCTTATGGGATCAATAAAGCCTACTTTAAAAATGTAACTTTTACGAATGGGAATCAGCTTCCAGATCCGTGTACAGTTACTGAATGGGAGGATGATGATGTTAGCAAGTGGCCTGATATTTACAGGTGTTTGGTGGATAAACCAAGCGGCTACATAAGAGAGAAACTGTGAGCATACAAATCACTTGATGTGTAGGCCACTGCAAATTGAGATTTGACATTTTTTGCTATATCAAATGTTTATACATAATATAGAAAGTTTAAAACAACGTGCATTCCTTCAAGGAATATTAGGCCTTAAGTTGGAATTTATTTGTTGTTGTTGTTGTTGTTGTTGTTGTTGTTCTATATAAACCCTACAGTTTGGAGAGAAGAGTTTGAAGCTGGACCACTCTGGCCCTCGTCAGTCTCTTGAGTCTTGATGTGAGACACACAACCCGCCACCTGCCAGCTCCAGTTACCTTTAAGGAAGCTCGTCTCTGTTTTCCTGAGTGTATATTTAGAAGTACATCACATACTGAGAAACTCACATGGCACATTCCAAAACGCAGATTGTTGCCCTTCCCACAGCAGAAACACACAACTTCAGCCACTCTCTGTAACTCACTGTAACAAAGAGCTGTACTCGGTGAGCCGTTTGGGCAGATGTCGATGTGAATGTGGTGTAGGGGCCATGAAAACAGATGATTTATGATGATGCAGACCAGAGACTTTGGGTGTTTTAGTGGTTTATATGAGCTAATGTCTGCCGCCAGCTTTAATCTGGCCTGCAGGACTGCTGCACGTGAAGTCTAAGACGATAGGATGTATTAATACTTTGTCACATAGCAGAGKGGGAGCAGGCCCACATGGATGGTCACCTGTTTCTCCTTGCTGCACCTGTGAGTTTTACAAGTCTCTGTTTGTCTCTTCAGTTTAAACCACACAAACTACATCACATATGAAAMAAGACAGAAGGTTTRAAGGTTTCAACGCTTCCGTCWGCTCAAYGTGAAYGGGCACGTCCAAYGCCGCGGCTGTTGTCTAATGATCTCAGTGATGATTATTGCAAATGACCAGAGTGTTGCTTGAAGTCCTGGTTTAGTGCCTCCAGCTGCTGTGTAATCTGAGCCGCGGACTCAGACAGCAGGGTTGGACAACAGTCAGGGTGTTTGATATGAGGGGTGGGGGATTTAAGGCTCTTCCCCTCGTCGTTACTCTCACCGTCTTTCACTCCCTCACACTTTATATTTAAACACAGTGTGGTGGCGTGGATTAGAGCCATCTTGAAACAACCATGGCTGYGTGTGGGTTTGGGTTATTTTTCGGAGTTTTAATGGTTTTGGGGACCATGAAAGGTAAGTGGGTCGTTGCAGTTTGGCAACCAGCATGCTATTTTGTTGTTTAGCAAAGTTAGACTGATTATGTGTGGCAACAACAACCACTTGTCAGTCAAAACTTTACTCAGATTTGTTGATACATTTAGCAGCATCTGGACACACAGGCATTTGTGTAGCAACTTGATTGTTGTTTGGTTGAAATCTGTGATTTGGCGACATTTGATGTCACGTGAATCCCCTTTCTTCCTGATGTCACGTGAATCCCCTTTCTTCCCTGTTGTGATGTTCAGTTTGAACTGGTCATCTTCATCGTGTCTACATGTCTAAAGGAACTGAGTTGCTGCTGTGGGATTGGCTGATAAACTATATTTTGAACGAGTTTACCTTATAAAGTGTACTGTATGCTGCCTTCTTTTCCATGAACATTCATGCATTTATCAACAAGACGATACAAAACCACATTCCTCCCACTTTACAAAGGTTTGGCTGAGGAGGACCAGAGTCCAGACCCTGAACTGACCTGCCTGCAGTGCCTCAAATTCTAAGCAAAATTCTGGTACAGATTGTTCATAAAGCTGATAAAAACATCTATCTATCTATCTATCTATCTATCTATCTATCTATCTATCTATCTATCTATCTATCTATCTATCTATCTATCTATCTATCTATCTATCTA